AATGAAAGGCCTTTTGGCTAAGATCAAGCGTTCTATATGATCAGTTTAATATCTAAGGTGTCTTTTGAGGACAATATAGTACATAAATGTTGGGAATTAGAAGATGGAATAGGAGATTGTTATATCCACTCCAATCATCAACCTGGTTGGTTGGTATTAGACGCACCCAACGGTGTGTCTCTTTTCAGGGGAAAATTTTTTTTTCTTTTTTGTTTTTAAATGAAGGTTGCTGTTATTTATTTATATATTCATTACAGAACTGGGGTACAGGTTAGAGGTGCAGGGATGGTGAGAGGATTCACCAGAGACACAGGGGAGCAAAACAGGGGAGCAGCAGGAGACGTCTGCCACGCCATGTGGATCACCTCTGGTGGCAGGTGAGGATCGAACTCATGCTGAAGTGGCTAAAGCTTCTTAGTGCTGTGATTTAACCTGCCGCGCCACCAGGGAGGGCCTGCTGTTGAGTGTTTTTAAAGCACATTGAGGAATCCTCAAACAGTAGAAAGACAGGAGACGAGACTTGTGTCTCAGAGCACAATTTGATTACCCATGTATAAAACGCCAAAGGTTTTATATTTCTCTGCAAAGGATTAGACATGTAAGGTGGTTAACCTTCATGCTAGATTTCTTACCATGTTGTTAATTTTTGTACAATAATTTTTTTTCTCTCAGGAGAAAAAATTTCTAATTTTACATTTTGATTCAAACATAAAAAGTCAAAGTGGAGATACCAAGTTCTTGCTTATTGTTAAAATTATTGACATTTAAATTAAATGTAAGCTTTCCTGGCTAGTTATGTTACTATTTACACAAAGTCTCAAAAGGTATTTTATTTATTATGATATAAAAAATGTAATAAAAACAAAATACCCTTAAAACGACCTGAGTAGAACACAAAAACAATGGGTTCTGAAAAATGGACCTAAAATCTTCCTGTTATTATAGTTTGATTATTCTTAACATCTTGTAGGTTAAATAACCTATAGATTTACTTGTAATTACTTTAGAAGGGATAAAGATTATGACAGATGGAAGGGATGGTGGGATCTAAAACAATACCATAATGTTGATAACTGCTGAATCTGGCTATTGAGTTAATGGTGTTCACTATTTAATTTTCTTTCTGTATATTTCAAAATGTCTACACTAAAAGTTGAAACAATAAAAAATCTAGTCATCATTACAGTGACCCAAAGCAAACACTGAAGCATGTTTAAACGAAAAAAAAAAATCATTCCAAATAAAAGTTCAAGTGGTGTATACAATATCTCTGCTATTTTGTTTGTACAGTCAAATAAAAAACAAAAAGGATTTACCAATTAAGTATACAACTATTTCAGTTATAAGAAAGGTTACTATTGCCACCTACTGGACACTGTGATTATTTACTATTTTAAAAATCAGTATTATAAGGGTCTGTCCCACCCCAAGAACTTGGTCTTTAACAAGATATTTACATTACATGCGTCCCACCCCAAGTACCTGGTCTTTAACAAGGTATTTACATTATGTGTGTTTATATTAGTAATGCTAATGATGATATTTTACATCTCTTCTAATAGCATGAAAAACCACCAGTAAAAGGTATATCATTAAATTTTTGCTTAAAAGTACACTGGTGATCATTTATGATGTTCTTGCTTTATTTAAGATCCCAAATTTTGAGTTCTTTTTCCACAGGGGAGAACTCATAATTTAAATCATTTATACATAGGGACATATCAAATGACTAGTTTCAGCACATTAACCTCTTTTAACCTCACTTTTTGAGAAGGTGGACGGTATGGCAGTACATACATCAGAGGTGATGTGAATCTACACCCCTAAAAAAATACAGTTACCTATTTAGTTAAAAAAAAATACTTAAAAGAGGCCGGTGGAGGACCCTCTCTGGTGGCACAACAGGTTTAAACGCAGCACTATGATGCTATCTGCAGCCACTGCAACACGAATTCAATACCAGTCAGGGAGTGATCCACATGGCGTGGCAGACCTTGTCTGACCCACCCACTGCTCCCCTCAGCAGTGTACTTCGTCGATCTACCTGTTCTGCTCTCCACTCTGTCTCTGGTGAATCCTCTCACTAATCACCCCTCTGGCCCGAATACCAGCTCTGTATGTGTAAATAAATAAAAAAATTTTTAAGAGGCTGGTGGTTCTGTGTGAGATCCTTGCACCATCATCATCATCACCAGGGAACAGTTTTTCAAGTTCCACCCAGACTACTGAGTAGAGTCCAGCAATTTATGTTTGCAAGCCCATCCAGGTGACCTTGATACACGTTGAAAGTTAGATGATCACTGTATTTACTATAAAAAAGGTTAAGGCTTTACTTCTCTTTTCAAAGATGATTTATTATTCTCTAAGAAAAATATAATATGACACAAATGGGAAACATATTAAGAGTAATGTAATACAATTCTACTGTTTTTTTGATGCATCCCATTATAAATATTTGACATTAAATTATAGTTAGCCAACAGGAAAAATATTCTAAAGGAAAAAAAGGAAATAATTCATTCATAGGTCAGTTAATAAAATCCTAGAATGTTCTTGCCCAGAGCAAGTTTTCCAACCATCTTCCCTTGTTCTGATTTTTAAAAAGGCACCTTTCCAAGCTATCATTAAGACTTCTAACCTTATTATTTTAACTCAGGAATGTTATTTTTATAGAGAGGTAGATAAATAATAAATACAAAGAATACGCATTTATAAATAGCAAAATGGGTTGAGAAGTAGGACCTGAAAGCAAGTTAAATGTCCAATAATTGAAAAGTGAGTCCAAAAATGAAAGCATTAACTGATGAATGTTGTTCAGTCATTAAAATGAAAATTTTCTTATAAGGTTTCTAAGAACTATGGGAAAATGCTCACTTTACAGTTCATGTGTGTACATGTTCATTCTCCGTCTTTCTCTCAACTGAGACAATGGAAAGTGCATTGCTTGTGGTCATTGTTTTAAAATATATTTTTAAAATTTGGTTTGCATTAATTGGTATTTCTAAAAATTTCAGTAATTATTTATTTTATTCGGCAGAAGTCTACAACAACAATTAAAGTTTCTACTCTGTGAGTTAAGATCTTCAAGTAACAGCTAAGTTTTCAAAAGGTAGAAAATAAGCAGAAATCTTTTTCTCCCCACTAGGCACTATTCTTTTCTCACCCCACTCCTTTCAGCCATTTTATTTACTTTATTTCTGCTTTCTCACTTCAGCTGTTATAACCCCATAACTAGAGATATCAAGAAATGTAAATCACTCAGTATTATAAAAGGTTTAAGCTGTGCAGTGAAACGACTAGTCTTAAAAAGATGATAAAATCGCCTAATGATTAAGAGAACAGACTTCTAAAACAGACAGATCAGGGTTTGAAGCTTAGCTTATCAGTCATGAGACCTCATACAAGTTTCAGTTTCCTCCTCTGCAAATGGAAGAACCACCCTCCTTACACACTGCTGTGAGGATGGAATGAGAGGGAGCACACAACATTCTAGAGAGTACAGCAGTCCTCAGGCCTACAGGTAACTGCTGCTACTGTTTCTTAATGTTATGGTTGTCGCTGTTAAAATTTTTTAAGGTTTAATTTTCCAGTGGGAGCAAAACTTAGAGGGCTACAGTGTTTATTCTTAATCACTTGGGCTTCACAGACCACTAAAATGTTCAAAACAATTTGGAAAATCAATATGGAGCTTTCAAAATATCCCTTACAAGCTGGGTACTATGAAAACCCAACAAAAAATTTATTAGATTATCAAAAAAGAAAAAAGAAGCAGCATTTGAATACCCCCCTTAAGACGTGGCAGATAGTGTCAGAGTGAGGAAAATCACTCTGCCAAGGAAGGACAGCTGGAATTTCATGCCAAAATTATCATTTGGTCACATTTTTTTTTATTTTGTCACATTCCAATGAACACTTAAAGATCAACAACACTTTGAAAACTGGCATTTACAAAATATACTTGACTCCTTAGCTTGATTCTTCATCCACAAATACAGTAGTTCTACCTACCTCATGGGAATATTCATTCTACAAGAGCTAAGCAAACCTATTAAGTAGGAGAATTCAGGATAGAGTGAGTTTAAGTATATGAAAACACTATGCATGGTTCCTGGTACAGTGCAAAGCACCATTAAAAGTATATGGTAGCGGCCCTCCCTGGTGGCGCAGCGGGTTAAAGCACAGCACTGAGAATCTGAAGCCACTTCCGTATGAGTTCGATTCCCGCCTGCCGCCTGCC